TTATACTACAACGTGCTAAACCAATAAGTAATTCTTGATAGTATGCTTTTACTCCTTTATCACCTTGTTTTAAAGTTTGTAGTTTCAAACGTAAATCACATTGGTAATAAGGAGGAACAAAACGAGATTTCATACGTTGCTTTAAAACATTCCAAGTTTGAGGCACAAAGAAGAACATTATTGGCATTGCAAAGATCACTCCACCGAACAAAGCAAAATTAGTAAACTCACTAGTAGCAAGTCTAACTCTATGCTCAAAGAAGAACATTATGAGAATCAAATTTTTGTTGAACAATAGCTCCCAATCTAAATATGCCTCTTGGATCAACATTACCGAAAAAAGGAGGTAGACTAAATTTAATTTTAGCAAAAGGATCATTATTACCATGATTATTACCTTCCATACCGCTGACGATTGAAGTTGAGACGGCGACGGGCACCACCGTCGGCATCGCGATCTTCATCACCAAAAGCATCCGCATCTTCATCATCAAGACGATAAGGTGGAGGGCGTTGCTCAAAAGCTTCAATGCGGGTGACCAGATTATTCACGTTCTGCGTCGGCTCGGTCATAAGATTACGTTGTTCACCATGAACGTTGTAAGCTCGCCCTGACACGCGCACTCATTGAAGTCCATCGGAGTTCTTGCCATGGTTAGAAGATAGAAAAAGACAACACCAAAGTATTATCCCTATCAACTAAAAGGAAACAAGTGGTGGTGGTGATGGTGGTGAAAGTGGAATGCAAAATCACAAGCGGCTTACCACCGCCTTTGCTCAGATTCTTACCAACGCCAAACAGAGCAAAACCAAAGTGGCGAAACAATCATTGTTGGCGTGGATAATAGATTGCAAGATGAACTGTCTTTGATAGAAGAATATGTGGAGCTATGGATAGGCACACAATATGACAGCAAGGATTAGCAATTAACGAGTGCAGATTAACGATTGTTCAATCCGGATCCAAAGGACAAATCATAGGTGCTGGCTAAGACGTGTCGAGACGTAGCGCAACAAGGTGAAAACAAAGGACGATCGAAAGAACTCACAGAACAAACAAATAGTCCGAATTTCTCCTTTTTTTTCCTGAATTTTTTCCTGGATTTTTCCAAAAGGCACTAGTAGGAAACAAACTTTTTTTATTTTTTACTATTTTTTATATACTTTTCTCTGAACAAGGATCACAAAAGATGCAACCACAAAAATTGGCACGTTCACAAAAGATACAACTGAGGTGGGATGTGGTCTACAGAAATTCAGCACGTTCTCTGAAAAGCGTGCAGAAACTTTGACAATTTTTTTTCTATATTTTCCCGAATTTTTTTGACAATTCTGATGAAACCAAACAGGGCAAAGCCAAGTTTGGGTCGGCTCCAAATGGTGTCAAGAAGCTGCTAAAATTTTTTTAGATTTTTCGGATAAACGAGCGAAAAGTTATGCCTGTTCTACCGAAGGTATCTCAAGGTATGTTTTCCGGGAGGCACAACACTGCCAAGCGGATTAGGGCAAAGCGTCCCGAAACTCTAACACCGATCACGGGATCGTCCACCGTGACTAACAAAGCAGTAGGTATTCACCGATGATGTAAGGAGGGGGTGCGATGCGAGCAAAATAAGAGCGGTAGCAACTTTGTCTAGGGTTTGCTTGTGGCGAGAAGTTACACAAGGCGGCTAAGCGGGGCAAGTCGAGTAATGTGGTGGCTTCGACTTGTTGTTTGGGAACGGTGGATGGGATAGCGGCGAAAATAAAAATCACAAAGAACAGGCGATTGAACTACGACCACGAACACAATCCTAAACCAAAGAACAAGACTCGACCACGGACACAAACTCAACAACACGAATCAAAGCGAAATTGCAAAGGCACAAAGGGCGATAGGACGGTGGAAATTGAAATATTTTTGGGCTTTTTGTAGACTCTAAGTAATGAACAAATATGAATCTAAGGCAAACGAGATTATACCTCGCGTAAACCTCAAAATCTCTACGATACCAATTGATGAGTACAGGGCCCGATTTTCCGAGAGGTAGCCGTAAAGTTCGATTTGTGGAGATCTCGACGTTGGCGATCCGGCTTCAAATCGACGTGATTCAACCACGCAAACTGTTACACCATCGCTCCGTTGGTTATCAACCAAGCACAACTTGATTGACCTCGCCAAGAAGGCTTTTCACTGCAAGCGAATCGAAGAGCACAAGCAAGAAGGTAAAACACGCAACTGATATTGCAAATATGAATGACGCGAATATCAATAGAGGGTTCTAGAACTCGGTTCCAAAGGACTAATCGACACGAAAGGAGGAGATCAAGAACGGGGCCCTAGATCATTGTAAAAGGATTTGTCACCACAGTTACAATGAACGATTCTGGTTTCTCGATGGAAAACTAAACTCTAAACAAAACCCAATTGTGTAGCAGCGGCGACGGCTGTGTTTATAGTCTAAGACTCGACCTAGGGTTGGGGACGGCCAGGGGTTGGGCGCCCACAACTTGGGCTTAAGGGCCGACACGATACATGGCCAAGTTGCCCCAAATAGGTGACGCAGCACCTTACCGTGGTCACACAGAATGATCCACGGACCTTCTGGAGCTGGGACCAGATCCAAAACGACGGCGTCGTCGTCCCCTTTCCAACGCATCCAAGAACGGCCCGTTTCGATGTCGTATGAGAAAGTTATGACCGAAACAGTGACGACGTGTCTGCTGAATCCGAGGGCGACGTGGCAGCTGAGTTGGAAACGAATTGCAACTTGAGAAAGACCATGGCGTCGGTGTGTCCAGCATGGCGATGTCCTCATCACGCGACCTCGGGCGAAAGGGTAAATCACGACTCATAGTGAAAGTGTACAACCTCTGCAGTGTAAAACTGTTATAACAGTCGTGCTCACGGTCACGAGCGGCCTTGAAACCCTTACGGAATAGATGATGAACACTGATGATAAAGATGCTCACTAATGATTACTGTTTATGCTATTCATTATTCATGTTTACCTGATCATGTGTTTATGTGGGCTTGTGGATAAACTTGTTGCCACTCTATTGCTAAAATCATGACTCATTAAAAGCTAATCGCAGTTAACCGGTGTCAGCCTTTTTAGCCTCATGAACCCTATGTTATATTTGTTGAGTACGACATGTACTTACGCTTGCTTTATTTTTTAATTATTTGGATAAAAATTTCGGATGGGTACCAAATTGCTAGAGTTTGGAGGAATTAGGCTTGTGATCAACCAGTTAGTTGTCCCTGTAGAATTGGAGTCCTCATTCAAAGATCGGAGTTGTCTTTCCACTGTTTGCTATCTAATGTTATATTCTTTATACTAAGTACGTTATATATTGAGCATTGTCTATTGATATTACCTTTATTTGTAGCTATATGTGATATTTGACTTCCAGAGCTCACATATGGTGTGTATCTGGTTTTGTTCTTAAAACCAGGTGCTACATGGCTGAATTGTGGGATGCAGGTAGAGATTGCTTTGAATGGTACAGATTCCGCAACTTGTAGCTTCAATAAGATTTCTTATCGTTTGGATCTGCTTTTTTGATATTTATGAATAGGTTTAACTAGTTATGGTTCATTTACATTACCATCTAATAATTATATAACATAAAAATCTTTATTTTATGAAGGCTTTTCTTTTTGTTTGATTTGAGAACCTTTGGAAAGACATAAGGTTCTAATTTTTTGAGATATATTAATTAAGCTTTTTGACTTTTTTTTCTAAACTTTTTATGTTTTTCACTATGGAATATAAAGTGAACTAGTTAAAAAAGAAAATTATATTTAATATAATAATTGGATAATAGAACCTCTATCCTGTCGATGGATGGCGAGAGATCAAAATTTAGATATATACCAATTCCTATTACTAGTAGAAAGATACATATTAAAAGATCGAATTTTCATAGTATAGATCTACTAGTCCCTTCATCCAAACAGGATATGGACTAAACTTTAGTCCATGGACTAATGTATCCAAACATACCCTTACTTTAAAACATAAAATAGCTTGCATAGAATATAGATTATAAATAAATAAGAGTTAATATCATTCCTTGAGAACAGTGCTAATCTACGTATAAGGGCGTCCCAATGATTCCCAAATAACTAAACTGTATAAGTGCGCCCCAATAGTTCCCAAATAGCTAGTCTAGGAAGAATTATATTGGCTATCAAGAAGAGAGATCAAATAGCTAGCGACTCCTAAATAACTAGTGTAGCACGATCTTTCATAAACAACTCTCTCACAGCTCACATAACTCTCCACTGTAGTGTTCTTTATTTATTATTTCTAAGCCTCATCTAGCTAGCTATTTGCAATTTGCTATTGACGACGCCCTAAGCCTGTGCAGGTAACTAATAAATAGAGATTGTACTACAGAGGTCTAGATAGGGGATTATGCAGGCAACAAAGACCCTAAACAAATCAAACAAACTCATGGTTATTCATTTTCATTTCTGGTTCAAGTACGGTACAATTTCACGGTTACATAGTACCAGGATCCGAAAAAAACCCAACTATTTCTTATCCGCCTCTGAGAAAGGCAGTATGCTACACATCTATGCTGAATGCCCCTTGAAATGCTCCAAATGATCTTCAGGTTCCAAGTTCCAATCAAAACAAACTTTTGTGTGTGAATCGCATTCTGACTGTGCAAAATACCTTCTCAGAACATTGGGGCCCTATCTACTGGGTACCCATTTTATCGTCCCCAATATTGGCACTAAAAGTTCATGCCCAAAAATTACAGCAATATCTTTAGAAATTTGCTCCAAAAATAATTGAACTGTAAAAATCGATGCTGGAGAATTTGGCTAATCTTCCTCCATTGGCACTTGTGGTACGTCCCACTTGTCTTCCTCGATAGGCTTGGTAATGACGGAGATAGGTGACAGTAAGAAAACAAGTTAAGGAAATAGCCAGACTTGAATCAAAATTGCAATTGCATTAATGGAAACAGATTTTTTGTTCAGCTAATATAGTATATGTACGCAACTAAAGATTGTAACAAGCTGCACTGCAAAGGATATAAGTCTGCAAATTCATATCTTTTTCACCCCTGTTGCAGCTCCCTCGAAGTTCCCTTCGAATTTCTGGAGTAACCTGTTTATGAGGGTTCATGTTTCAAGCATTAGCACATGTCAGCTAACCAAGAAAATCCAGTAAATGGTGCTCTGATATTCACGAGTAATAAAGTGGCATACCAAATAGTGTTTCTGGTGATCCAACAAACGTGCAAGTTTCTCCTTATCCTTTTTCTCTAACTCATTCTTGTATCTGTCATGAAGTTTTTAGTGTAAAATACATGACTAAAGCAGTGAAGGAGTGAGCAAGGACACTTGGCAAATGAGCACCGGCAATCAATTGTCATGAGCTCATAACTGCAACTATGAGGCTTGGGCCTAGAGCAATAAAGAACATGTTCAAACCATATAACCACACTTTCAACAAGAAAATTTTTGAGGCGAGTACTTTGTTCCAGAGAATACAAAGGCATGCAAATGATGGAAGAGAGAATTCAAAGAGAACTTTTCATATTTGAAGCATGAAAGTTATTTCGCAGCGTGTCACAAATAAAAGGATTATGCGTTTCGAATCAAAGAAAACATGCTTCAAAGTCTACACATCCATCACTAACCTTTCCACAAATGCAAGCAGTGATTGATGCCATATAACAGGCATGATCCTCTCATCATCAAGAAAACGCATGAAATGAGCAAGCACTGCATCAAGCGCGCGGTATGGCAAAGCATATTTCTTGTCTAGAAATAGCTTGATGAAGTAACTGCAAGAGAGATTAGGTTACAGCATTCTCGAGGTGACAAGAACTAATACAGTATATACATACGACTAGAACTACTATGCATCATACACATTTTAAAAGCTGTAATAAAGATGTCAGATGCTATGACGACACATTATGTGGGTAGCTAAACAAAAAATTCATTATAGATAACTGATAGTTTCTGATGAAAAGTTTGCATGTTTAACAAAACAATCTCTGGACAAAAGGATGCAGTAATATTAATAAACAATGCAGAGATAATAAAAGAAGTTGGTTGTGGCTCACTCACCTTGTAGTGCCACAGTACTCCATCTCTGCTAGTTTCACTAGAGCTACACTGCATCCAAATGCATAGTAGAAGATAAGACTAACTCACAATTATCTTGGAAATGAATCCTATTAATATTCAGCTGACCTTGCATGGAGAAATGGAATGGAAACTTTCTGGATAATACTCCCAATAATCACTGCTTCACGGAGGGTGCAATTCCTTTCCTGCATTTAGGACAGCTTTATGAAGTGGACAAGAAAAGGGGAAAGGTATGTACCATTTGTGCGTCAAGACTAAAATATGACGACAGGAAAAATGGACAAAAAAAGGTGCCTCAATCAAAAACATAATATGTGGGAAGAAGAAACAGCTATTAATCTATCTTTCAATTTTTCAAAACAATATGCTGCATATCTAACTCCTTTCAATAACAAATCAGAAGGGAATGCTATTTGCAAGAATATTAACAACATTATGTAACCATAAAAATGCAACCATTCACCAACAGAACAAGCATTTGAGATATCAGAACAAAGGAAACAGATAGGCCCTATGTTCAACTAAATGCTGATCTCTAAAGAGAACAATTACCCGACAGAGTGGCAGCAAAATTCCCTTGTTAAATGCCGCAGGCTTATAAAGGGCCTTTTTCAGTGACTGGTAGAGCGCAAAATGCAGCCTCTTGTTCTTCCTTATGTCATTACGAACACGAGGTAGCAAAATGGCTTCATAGAACCGTTCAGCGTTCTTTGTGTTCATGTTTGAAGAGAAGAGGCGTGTTGCTTGATACACGGCATTAGGAGACCAATTCTCTGGCTCCGTTAGCTGCACAACATCTGCCCAGCACTCCAGCGATGGTATGCGCTTGAAGGCTTTCGGAATTTTCCCACTCATATACCGGCTTAAGAACTTCCCAACCCTACAAATGAAAAATTCAGTACTGCACAGAAATGTGCAGGGCTTCTTTACATTACAGAAAGTAAGAAAGAAGAAAGTCCCATACTCTTTGTAAAGCTCAATAATGCTGTTGTCCAATTTTACACGAGGTCGTCCTTCTGTTCAAGTAAATACAGCAATCAGGAATTCCACGACCAACAATTGCTGTCTATGAGCATTCACCAACACATTTAACTCGACTCATACCAAAATTGCAGGTAAAGCTACTTCCAAACAGCTCACGTTTGCTGAACGGACTGCAATTCCAAATAATTGGCGACAGTTAAAAAAGCATACGCACCCGTTGCGACCTCAGCATCCTTCTCCCTGATCTTCTGGAGAATAATATCACCAAGGGTGCGCTCGGCAGCTTTGTCCTTCGACATGAAGGCAGCGAGGACCCTCTCGTCCTCCTCGTTGATCTCCACCTACCAACGCCACAAAGCCAGCGAATTCGCATCTCAGTCACAAGCTCAGCCAGCGGAAATAAATTAACCAGCCATTCTTAGTCTTGCAAGTCATGCACCTCGCCGCCGCCGTACTCGCTCAGCGCGTCGAACCCGTCGAACTCGTCGACGTCGTCGTCGTCCTCCCCGCCATCCGCGGCTGGGACGGGGAACGAGGACGACGTGGACGACCCCGCGGCCGCCTCGGCGGCAGAGGGCCGCTGCTCGTCGCTGGAGTCGTCGGCGCGCATCTCCTCCTGCTGCTGCTTGCGCGCCTCGCGGAGGATCTTGGCGCTGAGGGAGGGCGGGATGGATGCCTCCTCGTCCGCCTGGTGCTGCTTGGCGCCGCCCGAGCGGCGGCGCTTCGAGGCCTCGGCGACCGCGTCGGCATCGGCTCCCAGCGGGAGGCGGTGCTTCGCCGGCTTCTCGGAGCCGGACTTGCGCTTCTTCCCCGCCATGGCTTCGCGGACTCCGGGCTCGTTGCCGGCGGCGCAGGAGGAGGGAAGCGTCGAGGCGGCGGCGGGAGAGCTAAAACCCTAGTGGAGTCGCGCTGGGCGCGCGCGGTCGGAGCGGCTTTTTGTTCCTGGTTGGGAATGGGCATGGCCAAGACAAGCCGAGCCGATCGCTACCGCTGGTACGACACGGGCTGGGCCTCGTGAGACCCAGGACGAGCTATACTTTCGGCCCAATATTTTTGCCCTCCACTAATGTCTGATGTCTTCGTTTCCAATGGTAATGTTTGGATACGATTTTGAAATCAAACTCTATATACCATGACTAAAAGCATGCTAATGTAAATCATATAAGCATAGATCATGAAATCGGATCATGGATGGGACGTTAAACCAACTATGGCTCTTAGTCTTATCTTTATAATTTATAACTATTTTTGTTTTTCTTAATAAATTGTGTTTACCATACAACAACTAGAAAGGTGGGTGCAGATTACGCCAACATCTTGTATTTTGTTTAATTAAGTACATAAACTTGTCATTTTAGTGCGTAGACGGTCCAAAGACTGCATCTCTAGTATTTCTCTACGCTGTAATACGAACCATGTTAAATGTGAAGAAAGCATGTGAGATGAAGGTGTGTGGCTCTTAGATTATCTCCAATTTTTAGGAAATTAGTGTCTGCAATTAGCTACCTTGTGTGCGTGTGTGTGCAGTGCGTTAGCCTGAAATGTCTGTCTAGGCAATCAGACAATTTGTTTATCTGACCAGACACACAAAAACTCGTACCTTTTGATTGAATTACATTACGTTGTCTAGATGCAAATGACAACTAATCGTATTTTGGAGCAGCAACACCGGGTTCTTGGCGGCAAGGCTCCATGGATGTGAATATGTGATACAACTGCTTTGATCCACCGGTAATGATGGGACTCGGGCGTCCGAACGGACGTCGAGTCCGGACGCCACCTCCACCTCCGCGTGATGCCTCTCCTGCGCCCGCTCCGGCCTCCGTTCCCACTCGCACGCCACCTCCACGTCAGCGCCCACTCTGGCTAGGTTTATGGCGGCGGCGGCGGTGGCCTCCCTCTTCGGCCCCTCCCCATCTTTCTTCTCCAGCTCCGGCAGCTATAGAAGGGGCTGGTGGGAGGAGACAAGCCGGCCAGGCGGCGGGGACGGTGGCCAGGCGACGATGGCGACGGCTGGGCCAGATCGGGGCATGGGAGTCGTGGCCGTGCTTGCCAGAGTTGGAGAACATGGCGGCGACGGGAGGGGGAGGGGGAAGGGGAAGGGGAAGGAGGAGACCGCCGCATTGTTGCGGTGAAGGACGGTGGAGGAGCAGTTGGCGTCTAGCAAGATCATCCGTCGATACACTCCACACTTCGTTTAGATCGTCCTATTGGTGTTACGACCACGGAGCATCCAGGCAGGCCTGTGTTTACGGCAATAACTTTGCCTAATAGTGCATCCAGAGTTGGGACAACGTGCAACAAGTGAGCCAAGCGTGAGCTAATAAAAAATCTAGTGACCCGAGCAAAATCTAAAAAAGAGTTGTAGCCTATGCATTGAGCGTGCATACGTACGCACAGGTGGGTAGTCTTTGGACCGTCTACGCACCAAAACGACAAGTTTATGTACCAAATTAAACAAACAACAAGATGTTTGGGTAATCTGCACCCACTTATTTAGTTCTTGTATGGTGAGTGTGATTTACTCTTTTCTTAACTCTTCAAGGGCACACGAGAATTTAGCTACAAAACACGTTATCTCATATGGATTTCATGATATTGAATGACTCATCTTTTATGCTTATATGGCTAAACAAACATATGGTTTTGACGATAGCTTATCATTTAATCACACCTATGATAAAAGTCAATGTTTTTATCTTAGAATAGAATATTTTCAACGGTTCCCTTTTGCCATGGTACATGTAGCAAATTTGAGAAAGCAACGGCGACCTGTGTGGGTGGGCTCCACTACCGGTGAAAGGTCCTAAATGGCTAGATGGGGTGAATATCCTATAAAAATTCTCTACAAAATCACTAGAGCAAAATGTTAGTAAACTAAATGGCGAAAAACAATTTTACTCTAACTCTACAAGAGTTATAAGCCACCTATACCAATAATTCTAGTTGCTATGATCACTAAGCACGCTTAAGGCTATATCTCTACTATTAACTAGTGAGCTAGCTAATTACAACTTGATTACCAACTAAGCTAAGCTACACTATCTACTCAACTACCTCTACACAAGATATCACTGAGATGAAAATACAAGAGAGATGTATATTGCACATGGCAAGCGAGATGATCAATCAATCAATCAATACCAATGAACACCGAGAGAATGCTAATAGAGACAATGAGACACACGATTTTTCTCCCGAGGTTCACGTGTTTGCCAGCAAGCTAGTCCCCGTTGTGTCGACCAACACTTGGTGGTTCGGTGGCTAATTGGCACCACACCAAGCCCACACTAGGACACCACAAAAACCTACTCACAAGTGAGGTAACTCAATGACACACGCAATCCAATAGAGTACCTTTTGGCTCTCCGTCGGAGAAAGGTCAAGAACCCCTCACAAGCAATCGATCCGAGCCGGAGACAATCACCAACTTCGCTCAACGATCCTCCAATCACCGAGCCATCTAGGTGTCGACAAACACCAAGAGTAACAAGATCAAGACCAGCCCAAAGCGCCCACCTAGTGCCACAAGATGATGCAACTCAATGCAATGCACTAAAGGCTCACCAATCTCACTCAAATGATGAAAACAAGGGTGCAAGTGAGTGGATTGTGTTTTCTCAGCTCCCAAAGGGTGTGCACAAGTGTATGTAGTGCTAAGAGAGTAGCCAAGGCTGGCCACCACCTCTATTTATAGCCACACAAGTAAATAGAGCCGTTACCCCTTTAGAGCAGTTTCTGCGAGGGCACTGGACACAACGGTGCGCCACCGGACAGGGGGTGGCGGTGCCCTCTCCAAAGGTCACCAACGACTAGTTTGGGTCACCGGACAGGCGGCGGTGGCACCGGACAGAGAGCGGCGGTGCCACGCGGAGCCAACTTCCCGTTTTCCCTGCTCTCTGGAAAAATAGGGTGGTACACCAGACATAGGGCGGCGGTGCCCATGGCGGTGACCCCCTTTGCTCAAACACGTTTTCTCCTGCCTCGGGAAATATAGGGCGGTTGCACCGGATAGCCCACGGCAGTGCACTGTCGTGCACCTGACAGTGTACACGGTGGTGTCTGGTGACCACCCCTTTTCTGCTGCTCTGGCCGAGTGTAGGATCGACAGGAAGATAAAGGAGGCCTAGAGGGGGGTGAATAGGCCTATAAAAATTCAACTCAAAACTCTGTTAGAACAGAGGGCGGCACTGCCGGCCTTACAGGACGGCACTGCCGCCCTACGAAAAATAATCTAACATAGTTGAGATTTAACAGATATGAACCTGACCAAACTAGCTGCTTAATCCTGCAATATAAAGCCAAGATCCAGTTCGAAGACTGGATACCATAGAATCTTCACTCAACAGTGAATCGAGCAACTAAACCCTAGCAACAGCTAGCAATACAGTAAACAACAAGTATAGTAAAGATGAAGCACGCAAGACACAAGATTTATCCCGTGGTTCAGCTCACCACTAAGGTTTTTGCCTAAGTCCACATTGTTGAGGAAGCCACAAAAGGCTTGAGCTTGCCGCTAAGGCTTGCCTTACCCTCGTTCTCAAATCAAGAGAGTGAACTCTTGAAGTGAGGGGTGATTTCTTAGCTTTTGAATGAGGTTACAAACCTCCCAAGGCTACCACACGAGTTGGCAAGCACAAGAGCGACGCCTAGCCGGCTAGGAGCAAGCTCCAAGAGTAACAAACCCTAGAACCGTCGGCCAAACGTGAACCAAATGCTCTTAGACTTTAGGAATCAGTGGATCTCCTCTCCAATCGAGTTTTGCTGCCTTTTCTCTCAAGTTTTGATGGTTGGAATCAAGGATTAGCTTGAGGGATGGAGGAACAACAATGGAGGAGAGAGGTGAGCTTTGGTTCTATCTGTTTTCGAGCAGAATGAGTCAGTGGAGAAGATGACCGTTGTGGGCCGGGTTTGAAGGGTATAAATACCCCCTGAGCCCAACGGTCAGTTAAGGGCGGCATTGTCACTCTTAACAGGGCGGCACTGCCACCCTAGCCAAAACAGGTAATATGATATAAAATTTGGTTGGCTGTTTTAACTAGGTGGGAGGATGTAGATCTGTAAATTTGAGCATCTGATTCAACAGTTGACCAACTGTCCTAAAATCCCTCTTGATAGTACAGCTTTTCCTAAACTCAAATTCAAAACATAAAAGAATTTAAACCTCCCTTGAGCTAGGTCTGGCCACCTTTTATAATTCGAACACCTGCAACCTGTTCATCATCCTCATTCTTTGATTCACTGCTTGTCATCTCGATAAATCTCATTAGTCCTCTAATTTGGTGATCATCAATACCAAAACCCATAATAGGGCTTGATTGCACTTACAATCTCCCCCTTTTTGGTAATTGATGACAACTCAATTAGAGCTCACAAAAGATATGAAGTCTAAAATGAGATTTTCGAGCCATGGGTGTAGGAGCCTCCCCCTAAATATGTGAATAAAGATTTGAATTCTCAATTTGGCATAAAAGGCCATGATTCACATTTTAGGTGTGATGGGAACCTCCCCCTACATCCATGCCTGCTGTGGGGTGCTGAACAAAGTGTCACAAGAATAATCATGATGCATATGACAGGTTTTATCAGTTCAAGCACATAAGATTCTGGTTGATACAGAGGAGGGCGGCACTGCCGGCTCCATAGGGCGGCACTGCCATCCTAACTATATCAGTCAGATAGCAATCTGATTTCTACAGCAGATCATATGAATATAAAGTAATCTAAATTCAGAATATGACAAGCTAAAACTATAATCATAAGTATATGTCCATATCCGAAGCAAATAAAGTCACAAAGTAGCATAATTTCATAAAA